ACATTTGTCTCAACGGGAAGGGGAAAATTATTTTTTGATAAAATGTTAATAGTAGGCTATAGAATAAAATAAATACATTTGCTAAATTTGATCAAACTATATCCACAAATAAGCGAACTAGGCCTAAAACAGTTTTCTCTTTCTCCACAAGAATAACAAAGGAATTTTAAATGTCCTATTTTTGAGATTTTCTAACAATTATAAAACTATTATTATAGTTTTAGTAAAAACATTTCAATGGTCAATGGACCTGACAAGTAAGCAATAGGAAAAGTTTTTGGACGTGATATCACTTGGATGAAATGGCACAACACCATTTGAGACATACCATGGTGCTTGTAAGACTAACTGTTATCTCTCATTTTTGAAGAATTTATCATCAAAGCAGACCAGACGCACATGTGTGTCCGTTGGACGAGATAGCACTTGGACGAGATAGCACTTGGATGAAATGGCACAACACCATTTCAGACATACCATGGTGCTTGTAAGACTAACTGTTATCTCTCATTTTTGAAGAATTTATCATCAAAGCAGACCAGACGCACATGTGTGTCCGTTGGACGAGATAGCACTTGGACGAGATAGCACTTGGATGAAATGGCACAACACCATTTCAGACATACCATGGTGCTTGTAAGACTAACTGTTATCTCTCATTTTTGAAGAATTTATCATCAATGCAGACCAGACGCACATGTGTGTCCGTTGGACGAGATAGCACTTGGACGAGATAGCACTTGGATGAAATGGCACAACACCATTTGAGACATACCATGGTGCTTGTAAGACTAACTGTTATCTCTCATTTTTGAAGAATTTATCATCAATGCAGACCAGACGCACATGCGTGTCCGTTGGCTGAACACAACGAAGGTCCTGAAATGCATAAGAAAGACCCACTAGAAGAGGGACTTCCTATTAAACAACGTTCAGCTAAACAAAGAACAGTTAGATTTGCTAATGTAATAAGTGTATGATGACAAGTTAGTATTTATTTATTTTTTGCCCACTGTTTAATCAGTCGTAAAAATTGTAGGGAAGGGCTGAGGTGAGTTTTATGGGTTTGCTTTTTTACTTTGTGTTGGAGCTTATTTCCCTATTCAATAATGTCTTAAGTAGGGGATATAGCAGGGGATTGTGGAAGGATACTAGAAAATGGGGTGCTGATAAACTAATTGAAGGCGCTAGGTGAAAGTGGCAGTACTAATCAATGCTATTAATGTGGCTGCTGTGCGGGTTGCATCGCTGCCAGTCCTGTGAGCTCACAATCATTGAGTATCCCAAATGGGGTGCCGATGTTTATCAGTGTTAGGTGACATTTTGTTTCAAATTTAGATTGTGAGAATCCCGATGAATGGTCTGTCAATGCTTTGTATTTATCAGTGCTACGCAACATTTGGTTTTAAATTTAGCCTTTGGTAACGAAAACAGGTTAACGATGCACCTTCTTATCATTGTTATTTAACTTTTTTTTTTAATGAGTTAATATTTTTATAGTGACTACTAAACATGGTTTTGAATGGTTTAGACTGCCAGGAGTTTGTTATATATGTTCAGTGGTAAGATCTTAAAATAACACCAGTTTCTGGTTTCTCCTTTAAAACAATATAAATCGCTAAACAGTAAGGATGAGTGAAAACATAATTAATCATCTCAATTTTACGTTTGACACTACTGAATATGCAAATGGTTTTACCGCTTAGACTTTTTGAACGTTATATGTGTTATTTTTCCCACTGAATTACCGAGGTGTAAAACTTACATTTGAGAGTCTAAGGACATGTAATTAACGACCAAAACAGAGTTAACTTCATTAACGTCTTACAGAAACCTCCTGCAAATTAAGCTTGTCATTATGAAAAATGCTTCATTGTATATCTTGTTTTAACTTCATGCCAGTAACACTTAGTATATTTGAAAGGGCACCTAGTGGTCTGATTACAGTCTAGCGCTTTGTTGACTAGCAGTCTAATTACAAAAACCAAAAGTCATATGTTGCAGAGTTAAAAAATTCCAGCTTAATAGTGAGCAGAATGAAAACATGTTTGATCATGCTAAGAAATTCCATCATTAAAATTTGATCTATTGAAATCAACAACAAAATATGTGGTAGGTTTTAGAAAATAACATTCCAACATGTTTTCCTTATAAATTGTTTGTTTACTTGATCACAAATAACCGTTATAAAAGCATCCAATTCATTATACATAACACTCATCTTGTATTGATTCGCAAAAATCATGCAATTAATTTCACTTACCTAATAATGTTTAAAGATTTGTTAAAATTTAACAGTAAGAATTGTATTATGCATTCAAAACATACCAAACACGAAATGAATATTTATAAAATAATTATTCTTTAACAAACTAATGATTGTTAAAAAAAACTTCAATGTTTAATGAGCTGTGTTTATTTTACATCATCATACTTATTTTTAGTGGAAAACAAAAAAGCCTGTTATTCAGCTGTAAGTTTCTTTAACATTTTAATTTGTTTCTAAATTGCACGTGTAAATTATGCATAAAGTCTGAGTTAGTAGTTCCCTAAGTAAACACAGTTTTTTTATAAAAGTAAAATATTTACTTAAGGAGAAGCTTATTACTGAACAATTGAGTTAAATAAAAACACTATCTTAGTTATTTACTGTACTATGAGAATTTATCTCACATAAAACAGTTGTTACAAATAATTCTTAATTTCAATATTGCATTACATTTATAAACCACCCAACAAAACCTTAATAGCTGACACTGTAAAGTTTTGTGATCAGTACATTACTTATAAATAATAATGAAGTTAACTAGAGTTGTATCTGTTTATCTTTTTTACCATAATAGTGTTTTTTAATTTCATGCATGTTTTTGGAAAGCTGAACAAACAAACAAGCTATTTACAGTTTATACTCAGAGTATGTTTAAATGAAACTGTGTATATATTTTTAAATTGTATACAGAAATATCCAAATTGGGTTATTCATACCTCATACTTCTACTAGGTTGGGTTTTTTTTTTAATTTCAGATACACAATTAAACATTCATGTTATTGACGTTGGTGTTACACTTTTTGAAAAAGCTATTTTATTTACATTACTTATAAACACTTTTAATACAACTTCAAACTTTATTTTTTAACTGTACATATCATTTTTGTATGTTCCCTTACGTTATATCAATTACGTTTGACATATTTAGTAAACTCAAGCAAGTACAGTTATGCAAAAACGTAAAATTTTTAATAAACTTCCTTACACAAGTAGAGAAAAATTAAGTTTTCCTTGGAACAATATATGGTTGAAAGATTATCTGTTCATTGTTTTTCAAGTCATTTCAATTGTTCAGAAAGTTTTTTTTTTAGACATAGCTTTTTAATAAGAAAACTACATTTTAATTGAAAGACTATAAACAAATAATGCGTTTAAGTATAAATATGACATAAAATGACATGATGTTCTATGGAATTGTCTGAGGATATTACTAGATTTGATAAATTAAATCCCTGATACGTCAACATTCCAAGATCGAATCTATTGTTTACGGTTTCAAAAATAATACTTTCACAAGAAATATTTCTTCTGGGAGTAAACATCTATTAATTCCCAGCGCTTGCAAAATAGGGGAAGTAAGTTTCAAAACAATAATTGTGGCCACACTGCTAAGGGGTTGTACATAAATAGCTGCAATTGCTTTCACTTTCACTCTCACAGTCGTCAGCGTCAACATCGGGAACCATCCACCCTTTGCAACGCATCGCTGAGAGTTCCTATTACCGTACTTGTGTCATCAAGAAAGAACAAAGTAAGTTTATACTTAATTTTGGTAAATTTAATGTGTATTCTTTAGCTTTAGTTTTTGAACTTAGTCTATAACGTAAACAAAAAATATTTGACGGCAATAACATTTTTAACGCTTTAATAACTTGAAAGAAAAAAAATATATTTTCTAATAATAAAATATACAGTGTTTAGGTATAAAAATAATTCTAAAAATTTCAAAAAACTATTTCAGAATAATGTTAATGTATAACATTACAGTAGTTCAAGAAAACGAAATCTGTTGAACTTTGTGAAATATCAAAATCAATGCAAATAGCAATTGTTTATTTAAAATGATCATAGGTAATATCTTAATGTCTAATTACCTTAATGAATAACTGAGGGTTATTTAATGTGTTTCTAGTATACTAAGGTGTAATTATTTACACATGTACATCTAAATATTGATCCTGTAACATAAACATTTATCTGTTTGACTACACTAATTTAAATCTATTATACAAATGTATTTAAAAATAAAGCAAATAACATATTTGCTCAACTAAGTCATACACAATTAGTTTTTATTACTTTGTATGGAAAACAATAAATCACCTACATAAACGCTAATAGTTTGCAAAAAAAATATTTATTAAATATGGAGAGTATTGTGTATTATTTCATTTTTTCAAATTTATTTGTAGTAAAATGTGATAAGTATTTACTGAAAAGAATGCGAAAAGTTGTATAACTTTACATGAAAAGCAACTTTCGTGTTTTAAACGGATAAACTGTTAACTATAAAAAAATATATATATTACTACACGATTAAGCATTATTTATAACTTAGCAAACCACAAAAGGGACGTAATTATATAAATGATCTTTTAGGTTACATGAACTTTGGTTTGTATTAAATATAATATTTGAGCTGCATGGTACAACAGATGAATGATTGAACTTGACTAATGCTAAAAAAAAACCTAACGTATACTTAGTCATTTTCATTGGTAAGGTTGTTGATACTCTGAAGACAGCTGATAAATAACTCATCTAATACTTATCATAACTGTGTAAGATAGTTCAAGGTAAATAATTTGTTACTCAATAAAAATGTATGTTTTGTATGTATGTAACTATTAATAGGTATTTGTTTTCTTTTCTAGATCAGTTTAAAACATGGCATTTAAGTGTGAAATTTGTCACACTGAATTTTCACATAAGAAGAGTCTGATACGACATATGGTGAAGCACAAAGATGTATCTGATGCTGACTCTTTCTCATGTAATGAGTGTGGCAAAACGTTCCCTCGAAAAGACAAGCTTCAATGCCACTTGCAAGTGCACTCTAGTAAGTAAAATAAAACCATTTACAATTATACTTTTTATATATTTGTATACAAGCTTCACAAAATTCAAAAAGATTTAAAAAATTAACCTCTTTAAAATGGGTTAGTTGTGCCATATAAAATAGTTTTGACAAATAATTATCTTCATTATTTGTATCTATAAAACTATTCTCAGGAAAATAATCTTCCACCAGATAATGAGCTTTTAAACGTACTTTGTACATTATTTGTATAATTAAGGAACCGATTTTGTTTTATCATTACACTAACAACAATTTTTTTTTGTTTATAGAGCGTAGGAAGATTGATTTGTCACCAGAGGAAGCTTTGAAGACGAAAGATATTGCACCATTCTTCAACTGCACCAAATGCGACAAAAAGTTTACTTTAAAAAATAACCTTTGCAGGCACATGAAAACACATGTTTCAGGTAATTCTTGACTATGTTTGACCAAGTTTTGCATTACATTAATCCTTGTTTATCTTTAGTTTATCTGTTGTTAGTTGGGGAGCCTAGTGCAATGTATAAATCGGAAATTTGGTTCCTAGGTTTGAACCCCACCAAACAAGCTACGATAAATAATGATGTTTACTGCTGTCAAAAATTGGCCTACATAAACGATTCGCAGGGGGAGTCTTAACTTGCATGTATCACCTACTAAAGTCATTCATACTAGGATGGGTGTGCAATAACCCTTGCAGTTGAAGCATCTTTTAACTTTAGTTTGCTCTGCTCAACAAATAAATCTTATTTATGATCTTTATATATTTATAAGAGTTTTGGTTTAATTATTTGGTCAGAAAAGCTTTGAGAAAGAAATTCATTACAAGTCAATTTATTTTATTGCATGAATCTTATTCACACCTCACAGTACACATACTTATTTTTATGAAAATTAATTACACAGAATTAATAAAATATAATCAAATTTTCATTACATGACTGAAATGTTTACGTATTGTGGAATCTTCCACATATTCTACAGTTATATTTGTTAAAAGAACCCTATCGTTGCTTGTACTTATTTCTAATATTAACGTTCCTCAGAAATATAAAGAATTTTAATTTGTTGATGACTTCAAAAAAGACGTTTTATTGAAGTGGAGTAAAAGTTTCTTCCTTATAAGATTGATTTTCTTAAATTTGGTATTATTCACATCTGATAATTTTCTTATTAAGACCAAATTTTAATTAGGTATAGATAAAATTATAATTTGTTTAAGATGTTTGTAAATTATACAATAACCATTCAGTTATTTGTACATTTGTTTTATGATGATAGTGTATTTAAAAAATATATTAAAATTACTTAACTATCTCTATAAATTACACAAAATACAATGAAGAAATCCGTTCAAGTTGGGAGGTTCTAATTTAAAAAAATGTCTAATTTTTCAAGTTTTACCCACAAAAAATATTTAATTAATTTTCCAACTAAAAAATAAATATGCGTACTCTTTTAGATGATCAAAAATTAGTTATTATGTATAAGAAATCAACCTTACTTTCTAATTAAATAAAAATAATATTTCATATCTCCATCCTTAAGCATTTAATAGTCGAGAATAGGTATTTAAATTCTTAAGAAGTTATAAAACATTGTGAGCTTTTTTATAAAACCAATTAAAAAAAATTTACATTTGAAACTAACACTTTGTAACTAAAATAGTTGTTTTTATAATTTGTATATTAAAACAATCATGTTAAAAGATTTTTCCTTTTAATTGTATTATCTGTTGATTATTTAAATCAGTTTTTCAAATCCAACCCAGAAGATCTGTGTTAAACATGGTTATCATAGTCTAATACAGTTAGAGCTAAAAAAATGTCGTCTATACTATATTTAAACCTCCATATTAGTGTGAAATTTTAACTAATAAATTTGTTTATTGTAGAATCAGTCATTTGTAATGAATGTGGAGCTGTCATCTCCCGGAAGGATAATCTCACACATCATCAGAGATTCACCTGCCAGAAAAACAGGGAGAGGTCCGCATTCACCCCATTCGACAATGAGTCCAACCCTACTACATCAGAAAGCAACTCCATGGACCAAACCTCCCATCCACAGTCTGAGACAGAGGAAGAGGTTTGTGAATTTGTGACCACAGACACAGCTTTCAAGTCCCGCCTAGTTACTTACGAACTAAAACGGAAATTTTTGAAACAATTTACTCTACAGCTGTTTTTAACATTTGTATTTGACCACGTGATCAACTTACTGAAAAAGGTGCAATCATCATACAATAGTATAAAGATTAATCTTTTTTTAGAGTGTGAATTCATCAACACAAAAGGTGAGACTTGTTTGAAAAATTTTAAAACCAACAACACCGCTTTGTTCAAAACAACAGACTTGGAAGATTTTTGCTCAGACTTATTTTACAAATTAGTCAAAGAGAAGGAGGAATGTGATTTCAAAGGATCAGGGTGGACCTTTGTCAAGGTGAAAAAATTTGAGATTCGAGTGAATAAATATAACCCACTGAGAGGAGCGTCTCATATCCCCCTGCCCAGAAGAATTGAAGGCATAGTAAATGTTTACAATAATGACAATTTTTGCTTTAAGTATAGTATTTTGGCTAAGTTAATACAAGGGGATGCTAGATATCCTTCCAGCTACACACCTGAACTGGAGGGAAAATACAATTGGCAATCTTTAGAGTTTCCAGTAAAATTAAAAGACATTCCAAAATTTGAAAAAGATAATGAAATAAGTATTAGTGTCTTTGGCCTAGACAAAGATAACAAATTGTATCCTCTAAAGGTTTGTGAAAATCAACTTTCAGACCATAGAGACCTCCTCCTTCTCACAAATAAAGAATTAGGAACCCATTATGTGTACATTTCAGACTTCAACAAGGCTATCAAATCACAGCTGACTAAAACTAAGAATTCAATTGTAGTATGTAAGAAGTGTTTCGCATATTTTGAAAGAAACAGACCAAACAAATTGGGTCTAACTTGTGATGAAAGACTAACTGAACACCAAAGGTATTGTTCACAAAAATTACCACTCCGTCTTGATCTTTCATCTGAACCATACATCACCTTTAAACATCCCGAAAGAAGTCAGCGTGTACGTTTTACTGTTTACGCTGATTTTGAATGTACCCTTCAGCCTAACCATTCCTCAAACACTGATCAGGATTCAATCACTCACAATCATATCCCTCATTCATACTGTTACCTGATCAAAGACTCACAGAACGACTCTAATCCTGTCATACGTCAATACAGAGGTCCTGATCCAGCAAAACACTTTGGGGAGTCTCTTCGCCAAGATGTGCTGAAGATTGGTGACACTCTGTATAATGAAAGGCAAATGGAACCAAAACTTACTCCTGCAGAGGAGGCAGCCCATTTCGCTGCCACCCTATGCTACATTTGTGGCCAGGGTTTCACTTCTCAAGACTCCAAGGTTAGGGACCACATGCATTCCCAACCCTATTCTTACAGAGGTGCCGCCCATTCCAGCTGTAATATCAGGCATCAGGAACAAAATACAATTAACTGCTACTTCCATAACCTCACCTATGACTCGCATTTCATCATCAAAGAGCTTGGTTACGATGATAAAGAAATTTCAGTAATTGCTAATTCTGAAGAGAAATATATTAGTTTCACCAAGTATATCTCTTATAAGAAAGCAAACAGAGGAGTTCTCAAACTTCGATTTGTTGATACCTTGCGCTTCCTCCCTTCTAGCCTCTCTAAACTAGCAGACAACCTTCCTAATGAATGTTTTATAGAAACTAAACGTAGATTTCCAGATTCCACTCAGTTTACACTTCTCACGCGCAAAGGTGTCTTTCCATACTCATACATCTCCTCAGTAGAGAAACTTCAAGAAACCCAACTTCCACCTAGGCAAGCATTCTACAACAAACTCACTTTAGAAACTATTTCCAAACAGGATTTTAAACACGCTGAAGATGTCTGGAAAACCTTCAACATCAAAGATTTAGGCCAGTATTCTGATCTGTACCTTCTTACTGACGTCCTCCTTCTTACAGACATCTTCGAACATTTCCGAGATGCGAGTCTAAAATCACATCAGCTGGATCCTGCTTATTACATCACCCTACCCTCCTACTCTTGGGATTGCATGTTGAAAAACACAAACGTTAAACTTGAGACCATCCAAGACCATGACATTTACCTCTTCTTCGAAAATGGAATCCGTGGTGGAATCTCACAGTGTATGAAACGTAGGTCTGTAGCTAACAATAAACACTGTGCAGGCTATGACCCTTCTAAGCGTTCCAAGTATATTTCATATTTGGATGCTAACAACTTGTATGGATGGTCTCAATCACAATATCTCCCAACAGGTGGTTTCCGTTGGCTCTCTCCAGATGAAATTAGGTCCCTTAGTGTGGAGTCCGTGCCCGATGACAGTGATGAAGGGTACGTTCTAGAGGTTGATGTTGAGTATCCAAAGACCCTGCACAACAAACACCTTGACCTCCCATTCCTTTGTGAACGCAAGACTCCACCAAACACAAAACATGCAAAGCTACTCACAACCCTGGAGGACAAGAAAAATTATATTGTTCATTACCGAATCCTAAAACAAGCTTTGAAGCATGGATTGAAACTGAAGAAAATCCACAGGGTTGTGAGGTTTGATCAGTCTTCCTGGTTAAGGTCTTACATTGACCTTAATACAAACCTTCGTAAAGCAGCCAAGAATGATTTTGAAAAAGACCTTTTCAAATTATACAACAACTCTGTGTTTGGTAAAACCATGGAGAACGTGAGGAAACGTATGAACTACAAATTGGCAAGTAATGAAGTAAAAGCAGAAAAACTCATCGCCAAACCAAACTTTTTACACAGAACCATTATTAACGAATCATTGGTTGGCGTTAATTTGTCTAAAGAGAGTATCATTCTTGAGAAGCCGCTTTATGTAGGTATGTGTATTTTGGAGCTTAGCAAAGAGTTAATGTATAAGTTTTACTATGAAGTGATCATCCCTCACTATGGTGAAGATAATGTAAGACTTATATACATGGACACAGACAGTCTAATCTTTGAAGTAATCACACCTGACTTGTATGACAGTTTTGTACCAATCATTGATCACCTGGATACAAGTGGCTTTCCAAAGGACAATCCGGCATATCGTCCTAACAACGCCAAGGTTCTTGGCAAGTTCAAGGATGAACTGAATGGTGTGTACATTCAGGAATTCCTTGGTGTCAGAACCAAGGTGTACACAATCGTGAAAGAGGATGATATGTTTGACCCAATAAAGAAGTGTAAGGGTGTCACTAAGCCAGTGGTTGCTAAAACTCTTCGAGTGGAAGACTACCGGCGATGTATCCTGGAGAACAATGATTGGTACACAATGAATTCAACATTCCGATCTTACAAACATGATGTTGTGACCAGATGGGAAAATAAACTATCTCTTAGTGGTTATGACATGAAAAGATACCTTTGTAGGGATAATATTAACACTCTTCCCCATGGTCACCATAAAATAGAACTGTGATAACAACACCTGTTGTTGATTGTTTGTAATCAGTTTTTTTTCTTTTCTGTTTTCCTTGTAACTATGATTGAGTTTTCTTTCATCTGTATGTCATCTACATTTACTGAATAAAATATATTTGTTACAGCTAAAACTCTTATATTTGTTTTATATTTTGTTAAAATCTATTTAGTTAAATTCTGTTGTATGTTCATTAATATGAAATATCAGTAGTTGGTTTATTTGTAAGAAAAATAAATACGTTTAACGTACAATAAACATGTTATATTTAATTGCAAGCAAATGTTAAAGGAATATTTTTACTATCTTTAAAAGTTTACATTTTACCAAAATGTTTTTTTTTCATGAACATGAGTGTTACCATTTTTTAAGTTATAATTTCATTATATTGTTACAGATTTATGTGTTTGAATAGATTTGTTATATCATTATAAAACTACTGTTGTTATTGTAGCTTGAAAATTGTTTGTAAAACTGTTCCTTGATTTTTTAGTCTGTTAATGAGCAATGTTTGAGGTTATTATTTTGAAAACGTTTCAAAAGTACAGAAAATAACAAAAACGCTTTATTTTAATAACAACATTTAAAAAATGAAAACAAATTTAATATGTACATAAGTAAAAAATAAAAAAAAAACATGTGAAAACGTATTTTCTTTGTTACCTAACATTCAATAAAAACAATAAGTTTGGTACCTGGTAATAATTATTTTGAATGTAAAAAAAGTAATTAGCAAAACTATATTTTTGATAAATGAACTAGCGATGTATTTTTGATTACTAATTTTCAATATTAATACTGTGAAATATAAAATATTCATTAAAACTAAAAGTAATTTTTGTATATAACTAAAATTAAAAAAATTTTTGTAAGCAAATAAACGGAATTTCGTCGTGAATTATGTAACATAATGCATTTAGTTAAAACTTTTTTTACTGTAACTTATATATACATGAGAAGGTTCATACTATTCTATACTAAACTAATATTGGAAATCTATAAATTATGATATAAAACTAATTATATAGACATAAAAATAACATTTCTTCTCAACGTTAAGTTTGTTCATTATAAAAAAAAAACATTACTTCAATAAAAAAAAAAACAATTAAAACATGTTTTACAAGTTTGGTTCACTAATTAAACGGAATCTACTGTTTTATGCATATAACTTATATTAATAACGACACGTATAAAGTAAAAAAAAAAATGTGAGCAAGTCATTTTTTACAGGTTTGCAATTTAAACAGAAAGATCATTTAATATCTCACTGTTCAGTTATATCACGGATAATAAAACACCATAATGGTTAATCATAACCAATAATTAATAATTGGTTCCTTAGTCTATGGTTATATTTATTTCATGTGTTTATCAAATAAAAAAAAGAGGGATGTTTGTAAACGTTTGTATAATAATACCTCAATCATCAATGTTTTTAACCATGGTCATAAAAGGTTTTTACATTAAAACTATGTTCTATTCTGCATAAAACTTGTATAATTTTTCCCATCCTAATTTAAACTCCTATTGGTTTATTTAAATAAACAGGCATCTTAAAGAATATTTTTTAATTACTGTATATAAAAAAAGCTAACAAGGAAAGTTTTACTAAATGATTTTATCTGTATTAGTTTACTTTTTCTATAAATGTATTAGAACATTCCATTAACAAAATGCTAACATTGAAATCTTTCATTTGTGTTAGGTGTGAGTGCTACTATTATTTAGTATGTGTAAAAAAAAGTACTTAGGATTTGTCTAGTATTTGATATTGTGTTAATGAGAAATATGACATAGGTTTTGTAAACTTTTAAAACGAAAGTGTTCTTATAGTGCATTTCTGTGTTACAAAGAAAATATATGTAAAATTTTTAAACAAAATGGTATATTTCTTTTCCTACTCCTAAAAGATTTTTTTTTGTACTGATACAGATCACTCTAATTAAAAACTAAGTTATCTGATAGGTCTAAATTTTATCAAAACAATATTCTTTCATCTGGTTTATCTTCTTTCAGTTAAAATATAGTTTTCTTATTAAAAAGCTATGTCTAAAAAAAAACTTTCTGAACAATTGAAATGACTTGAAAAACAATGAACAGATAATCTTTCAACCATATATTGTTCCAAGGAAAACTTAATTTTTCTCTACTTGTGTAAGGAAGTTTATTAAAAATTTTACGTTTTTGCATAACTGTACTTGCTTGAGTTTACTAAATATGTCAAACGTAATTGATATAACGTAAGGGAACATACAAAAATGATATGTACAGTTAAAAAATAAAGTTTGAAGTTGTATTAAAAGTGTTTATAAGTAATGTAAATAAAATAGCTTTTTCAAAAAGTGTAACACCAACGTCAATAACATGAATGTTTAATTGTGTATCTGAAATTAAAAAAAAAACCCAACCTAGTAGAAGTATGAGGTATGAATAACCCAATTTGGATATTTCTGTATACAATTTAAAAATATATACACAGTTTCATTTAAACATACTCTGAGTATAAACTGCAAATAGCTTGTTTGTTTGTTCAGCTTTCCAAAAACATGCATGAAATTAAAAAAACACTATTATGGTAAAAAAGATAAACAGATACAACTCTAGTTAACTTCATTATTATTTATAAGTAATGTACTGATCACAAAACTTTACAGTGTCAGCTATTAAGGTTTTGTTGGGTGGTTTATAAATGTAATGCAATATTGAAATTGAGAATTATTTGTAACAACTGTTTTATGTGAGATAAATTCTCATAGTACAGCAAATGACTAAGATAGTGTTTTTATTTAACTCAATTGTTCAGTAATAAGCTTCTCCTTAAGTAAATATTTTACTTTTATAAAAAAACTGTGTTTACTTAGGGAACTACTAACTCAGACTTTATGCATAATTTACACGTGCAATTTAGAAACAAATTAAAATGTTAAAGAAACTTACAGCTGAATAACAGGCTTTTTTGTTTTCCACTAAAAATAAGTATGATGATGTAAAATAAACACAGCTCATTAAACATTGAAGTTTTTTTTAACAATCATTAGTTTGTTAAAGAATAATTATTTTATAAATATTCATTTCGTGTTTGGTATGTTTTGAATGCATAATACAATTCTTACTGTTAAATTTTAACAAATCTTTAAACATTATTAGGTAAGTGAAATTAATTGCATGATTTTTGCGAATCAATACAAGATGAGTGTTATGTATAATGAATTGGATGCTTTTATAACGGTTATTTGTGATCAAGTAAACAAACAATTTATAAGGAAAACATGTTGGAATGTTATTTTCTAAAACCTACCACATATTTTGTTGTTGATTTCAATAGATCAAATTTTAATGATGGAATTTCTTAGCATGATCAAACATGTTTTCATTCTGCTCACTATTAAGCTGGAATTTTTTAACTCTGCAACATATGACTTTTGGTTTTTGTAATTAGACTGCTAGTCAACAAAGCGCTAGACTGTAATCAGACCACTAGGTGCCCTTTCAAATATACTAAGTGTTACTGGCATAAAGTTAAAACAAGATATACAATGAAGCATTTTTCATAATGACAAGCTTAATTTGCAGGAGGTTTCTGTAAGACGTTAATGAAGTTAACTCTGTTTTGGTCGTTAATTACATGTCCTTAGACTCTCAAATGTAAGTTTTACACCTCGGTAATTCAGTGGGAAAAATAACACATATAACGTTCAAAAAGTCTAAGCGGTAAAACCATTTGCATATTCAGTAGTGTCAAACGTAAAATTGAGATGATTAATTATGTTTTCACTCATCCTTACTGTTTAGCGATTTATATTGTTTTAAAGGAGAAACCAGAAACTGGTGTTATTTTAAGATCTTACCACTGAACATATATAACAAACTCCTGGCAGTCTAAACCATTCAAAACCATGTTTAGTAGTCACTATAAAAATATTAACTCATTTAAAAAAAAAAGTTAAATAACAATGATAAGAAGGTGCATCGTTAACCTGTTTTCGTTACCAAAGGCTAAATTTAAAACCAAATGTTGCGTAGCACTGATAAATACAAAGCATTGACAGACCATTCATCGGGATTCTCACAATCTAAATTTGAAACAAAATGTCACCTAACACTGATAAACATCGGCACCCCATTTGGGATACTCAATGATTGTGAGCTCACAGGACTGGCAGCGATGCAACCCGCACAGCAGCCACATTAATAGCATTGATTAGTACTGCCACTTTCACCTAGCGCCTTCAATTAGTTTATCAGCACCCCATTTTCTAGTATCCTTCCACAATCCCCTGCTATATCCCCTACTGTCTTAGACAGTTTCCATTGTAAAATTTCTGACCAAGCTATGCTTATTCCTTAAAACAAACTTGCTATGAGGGCCAAAGAAAGTTACTACTATATTATTTATTCTTGTGTATTTATTATTGCAAAGCCAAGATTGGTTTAGTAATGATAGTCCGTTATTGGCCTAAGCTATGTTATTTGCATAATTACACCACATTCTTTCTCGAGGCGATTTGAAATAGTTGAATTGTCATTAAAAGTATCGAGCACAGCTTACCTTCCCCTCAAGAATGTCAGGATTTAAGGTGTAACCATTAAGCAACCTACTTATTCACATTTCGTCTTAGTTTTTTAACGGCAATTTAAAATAGATTACAAAGAGAACTGACAAATTTATAAGTTTAGATGTTTGGTATAAACGTTTGGTATAGTTAATGTTGCTAAACATATTTTGTTTATCATATGAAATACAAATTACCTATATTAATGTTGCCACTAGATGTACTGTATATCATTATGTTTACTTTTATTCTATTTCATTACTACTCTCGCGAAGCAATGTTTAAAGGTTAAGTTTATGATAAATTAAAAACTACATACAGTTATTTTACGGTTTAATTTTTAGTTGAAGCTAATACAAATAAAACTTATATCGGATGAAAGTACACTTATATAAAAAATACATAAAACCAAAATCAATTTATAGGGAAAGATCTGTAATTCTTACCGAGCTATGAAAATGATCCCCCAAGTACAATAAAGTAATACCCCGCTTTAGTAATAATAAAGCTGTTGTGTTGTTTCTATATACAATTATGTATGACAATATTTAGGCCTATCCATATTAATTTATCTATACTATTATATAAAAATCAAACGGTGTCTATCTGTATGTGTATTACTAATAAGCGCAAAAACTACTGAACCGACCGGGAAGAATTTTTAGTAATTGTAAAAGAACTGTCTTGTATAATATAATGTTGTTCGTTGATATTTTTGTAGAGTAGAATCAGAGATGCAATGAAGCATATACTGTATTTAGGCTACTATTAAATTTTGTAGTGCTTGTTGTTTTTTTGATAATCATATTAGCTCTGTGTGCCATATTTAATACTCAATTTAATTTGTAAATTAAATAATATTTACTAAAGATATAAAAAATAAAGTTTTGTTTATTATTTTATTAAAAATAAATCCCTATTGGCATTACTACTTATACGAGCGAAATTAATAATAACTAACAACATTTTATATTATGGATATCGTTTCTTTAATATTTCAAAAGACTATTGATAAGGTACAACAATTTTTCTAAAGTTTACAACAGCTGATGTTAGTTTTGATATTGATTTATTGTGAGTGAAGATGAAAGATTTGGGATTTGAAGAAGATTTACCTAAAAAAATGTTCATTTAAATTTAATAATTAGTTGTTTGAAACATCAAAATTTAAATTTAAAATGTAAAAAATAAAAATAAAATACGTTAATAAGGGAGATGAAGGTAAATCATGTATGTGATAATGATATACGAACATTTGGTAAGTTTTTCTCATATCAGTCTACACAAAATTTAAAATTAATCAAAACCAAAATTACGGGTTTCACTACTTGCCAGATTTAAAAGCCACAAACGTTTCTATAAGGGCCATTAAGGTTGAATTTTGTTTCTAAAAGCGTTGTCGGCTGTGTAACTATTTTATACAACAGATGTAAAGATCAAAATGTTACTATTTCGTGTCTTCTTCCCATCACAACGCACGGGTACAAAATCAGTATTCAATAACCCTCTGCGATGCATAAAAAAAAACATCAAACAAAGTGCAAATGGGCTATGTTTATATTTACAATTTTCATACACGGCTTAATAATGTGATATTTGCCAAAATGGTAAAACTCATTAAGATTGTCCAACCCATTCAATTAAGGATATAAGTTTTGGTTTACAACTTATTCTAACCTGAAAAAGGATGGAATTATAATTTATTACCACTTTATGGTTACTTGTTTGTTGTTGAATGATTACTTATTTATTTATAGCATCACAATTAAATAATAGTTTTGTTTTAATTATGAATCATGTTGACATTAATTAAAATGGATTTATAAATAAAATGACTAATGTCGATAAGTATGGATGAATCTCACGAACACCGAGAACCCCACTGAGACAATCTTACTAGTCTTCCACTTCAAAAGTGAGATTAGCGTTAAATATAAAATTAAGCAAAGGTATTCATAGACCGTCATTACAACCACATTGTTCGCCATAAATACTACCAATATCTGCAATAGTTTCAACAAGTACTTGTTGTACCTGGTGATTCCGATCTTTGCCTTCGGCGACTGTAGTAATGAATGAATGAGCAAACATAATCGGCGATAGGTGATCAGTTGTTGGTACAGGTAATTATGAGCTCGTAGTACGTAGTAGAGTCGTCCATTGATGCCTCGTGTGAATGGGTCTGACCCTGATCTCGGAGGGGGTAATGGGGTTACATCTTGGAGAGACCAGACCAGACCCGGCCCCCGTGGTGGGGGCTCCTCAAGTGGGGATTATAAAAGCGTCAAGAGGCCCACTCAATGGATTACTCGTGGTTGCCGGGATGTCGTCGCCGTTGGTGCTCGTGTTAGCCCTGGTGTTAGGGTGTGTGGCTGGTCTACCCTCCGCCTCCCTGGAATCGCCCAACTCTCGAAACTCCATCCAGACCGGCGATGACCTCATGGACTCCATCTACAGTGACTGCCTCAACAAGGGGTCGGTCTCCTGTGTCAAGTACAAACTCTTCTCCTTCGTCGACAAGGTGGGTTAGACAATCAGCTAAATATTTTACATACACTTGTGGCTCAGCCTCAACAGATCATTACGCTAAACAACAAACATATCAGTCAACTTTTTTGATTTATAAAATAAGGTGTGAAATATTGGACGCTAAAGCAACATTATAAAGGTTCAGAATAAAACAGTAAACGAATAAAAAGCTACCCAATCTAAATACACTCTTGGATCTGTGAGATCATGGATTGGAGAATCGGAATACAGAAAAACAGCTAACGAATAAATGTTGATAAATCCAAGCGAAAATATATTGGATTTTGCATGTATTATTGGATTATAAATATGCAAACTAAAAGCTTGAAGTCCTTTCAAATTGTAATTAAATAATTAAAGTATTTTCTGAAGCTAAATTTTGTAGTTCTTATACTCTTCACTAAGGTGTGAGGACTGAGGTTTATAAGTTTGTGTGTGGTCCACCAGGTGTTGAGCAGCAAGGAACAGTTCAGTCTGACAGAGGGAGTGACTGTAGTGAAGACGCCGGGTGCTGCCGTGGTCGGTGACGGAGCCCCTCGAGCTCTCACCCCTGATGACGCCCAGAACACTGACGTTGAGTCCATGGTCACCTCCAGGGTGGAACAGTTCCTGCAGACCCACACTGTCAAGATCGACCTGAAGGGCAGTGACGTGCTGAACGCTGTGTCTTCAGCTGGCAGAGCTCTCGGAGACGCCGCAGACTCTCTGGGGCTCAGCGATGACGATGCCGAGGAAACTGGCAGGAAGAAGAGTGAGTACCATCCATATAATGAGAGATAGTGTTATTTCAAAAGAGGTTTGCTGGGCTTGGTAGACTCTAAAACACTGTAAACTATCACTCGGACGAAGGTATATTGTTTATGTAATCGTAAATAATTAGCGTAAATAGCTATTGGTATGGGCCGAGTTATTTGGTTCTTGGATCAATAGTAATATTAAAACTCGTATGTGCAAGGAGTAAGCCTGTATGAGATAATCTTTCGACACCCACAACAGTGAACCTGCTAAACGTATTTATTATGAAGTTTACTAAAAATATAATATTGAATAATTTTGTAAAAGAAATTATACTATAATATTTTTTAAAGAATGAACAACTAATCTATCATAACAAAAATATTGGGATTATTTAATTAAATAAAAATAATAAATGGGTTGATTAACATTTTGATTAATACTAATTTTTCAACAACAGTAAATTTTTATTCTGGAGACTTTAATGCTCCTCTAGTCTGAAAGCCTTCAGCTTTCATAAATTAATACATAAAATATATACTTTTTAAAACCTTAAATATTAGACCAAAAGCACTTATAATACACCGCGTATTTGATTAAAACCCTTTATTATACTGTTTTTGTTGTTTAAAACACATTGAATTCTAGTGAAATAAATACAAAGGTATGATATGCAAGAGTTATTAAAAAAATATATATATTTGTTGATGTTGCATCTATAAATAAACACTATTCTGGGTAGCACATTTTGAGTAAATCAAAAAAGGAGTTAAACGTTATAATAACGAATTCGTTACAGTACTTATAACAAAAAACCATACCAAAATGGCTATAACTACTTTTCTTTAAATATTACTTTATAAAATCCCAAATAGATTATACAGGCTATATATACATCTCAGAGTTATTCTAAAAAATAAGTTATGCTAAAACCCTAAACATATTGAGACGAATTTTCATGTTTGATGCCAGGTTTGGATTAACACAATAAGTCACTAAACTTTTCATAAAAACGTACACACATGGAGACTTTTCTTATAAAAAATCTGAAAATTGGAGTCTGGGTGTTGTATGTTTTAACTTTTGAGACGTTTAAACACTTTAACAAGCATTGTATATGATGAATGAATAAAACTCCTACATTCTGCAACTCAGTAAATAACACCAACAATTGCACTGAAAAAATACATAATTTTAATGAGATTGATAAGATTAGACATAGATTTTAAGTAGTCTGAAAATGAAAATAATGTTATAAAGATATTGTGCACCCAACCTTTACATTTATGAGAGATTAAAATATGGTTTTTGTAAAAACTTTAAAGATAAAAAGATAAATGTTAATTCTTAAAATAAAAACCAATTACCACAGACGAAAGTAGCAAGACTTAGAAGTAGCATTTAGAATATTTAGAAGTAGCAAGACTGCGTCAACTACAAAATGTATCCAGTTATAAGAGGATGTCTATAAGCGTCAGTCCATAGTATCCAGACTAGGCGAGGACTAGACTACTAACGGCTCCGCTCTGGGATGAGGTCGACCATCTGTCACAAAGTTCAAGTCTGTAGCTTTAGGCTCTATGCCACCCTAGTTATCCCAGATGGTCCAGTTGTGATGTGATACCCGGTCTCAAGTATCCTGGATCCTGTAGCTATAGATATAAGGGGCACATGATCAGTGCCGGTGTAACGCATCTGCTTGTCACGGTTATGGTCTGGTTGCTGGTTGTTTGTTGCCCGCTCGTTATCTTGTTGTCAGCGCACGATATTGAAATCAAGGAATTACTAACTGGATGCCTCTATTATTTGTTGGAAAATTACACTTATTATGTTTCCGTTGCTTTTCATGCGTTGTTTGGTCGTAGGACTGGTCTTATATTTTATGTGTTGATTTTTGACTGGTGGGCGTCGTTCCACTTTTAGTTAAAGGGGTTTTATCTCCAGATAAAGTGTTACAGAATACGAAATCGGAGTGTTAACCCATTTAACCTTTTACACCATTTTAAACTCCGCCCTCTATGCCAATTAAATCCGAGTATGAAGCTTTTGTTTAAATATGCTTCAAGCTGTACCTAATGGGTTGCGCATAAAACAAGAACAACTAAAACTACTAATGGTAAGAGAGTTAGGCCTACTAAGAAAGTTCTACAATTAGCTATTTATAGGTCATAATAAAAGGTTTATTGTTATATAAAATAAAATGAGATTTACATGCTATGATAAATATAGGCGTTTGAAAAAGAATTACCAAAGTATTTCAAACAATCCTGGATGCTAAATACCTCTACAGGGTGAGTCAGTTTGGTTTACCTATCCAATACAGTAAAATGTGTGTCAAATCTTGATCTCGTACCCATGCGGAGAACAAACAGCATTTCATTACTCTTGACCTTCAGTATATCTCCACTTTCACTTGACGTATCCCGCCCGACCTTTACCTTGTCGCGATCGTACCATCGAACTCTCCCCACAATTTATGGCTACTCTCTCTCCAAATACAAACGTTACATTATGGACTTCGTGCAGGCCTACTTCCTAACCGGCTTGGTCTTGCAGCTTTCGCCCCTTCTGGGAGTTGATTGCGAACATTCGTCTTGGCCAATAATCGCACATTTGAAAATCAGCAAAGAGAGAAACTGAGGTTACCTGAGATAGGGTATAACTATCTTACTAATTATTTTAAAACTATTACAGCAAATAAATTTGAATTCCTACATAAAATATGAACCTTATAAATATATCTTTAAATGAAGAAAGCGAAGGTAAAACTTAAATATTTATTTGCTCCAATTTTATATATGAATATGATTCAGTAACATCAGTTGTCCTTTTACTCCATGATGGATTTGCTTGTATAGTACTCCTGACTTCGGCGAGTTATTATTTCACATAACATTTGCATTGTCATGTTGAATAGTTGTGTTATAATGACTTAACTGTTGTTGGTGGCCGGTAAAATACTTAAACATTTAACATCACAGAATACATAGAACATTTCTGAGATAAACAGTTTTAACACGTTTCTTAAGAATTTTGTATACAAATTGAATCGCGTTCTATTGCGATTCAATTGAATCGGACAATACTTTCAATTTACCCTCCTCATATCACCCGTGAATCCTGCAGTCACTCAGGTAATGTACGTGACTAATCAAAACACAATTGAGCCTACGTGACACTGGATCCAATTGGGGTATTGGGTTTCTTAGAGGACTCGTAATTTCAAATCAACCATGGAATAAACAATGTTTACCAATGTAACATTCCCGCGGTTATTGATCGGTCATGGAGGCGGTGGAAAGTGGCGGGAGTTGGTTGGAGGTGTGCGTGGATCAGACGATCGGTGGATCGGTGGCCCACTTGAGCTAATGAGAGCCGGGTATGTGGTCTGTGGCACGCCCATCGCCCATCGGAGGCTAATCTAGTGATCTGGGTCGAGATGTGAGTGATCGGCTGTATCACTCTGCACACTGTATCGAATGTACCGTTGAACATCGTGAGAGTGACGGTGCACTCGGCTTTGTGAACATGTTACACCCGCCATTACTCTGGTTCACCCCGTATGACTCATCTGCTGTATACATACGCCTTATGAGCTACGGGACTGTTTGTTAATCAGATCATGTCTTTGACATATTGTTTTTTACACTAAACAGTGTGCATCAATGTTTAGACTGTTTCACCTCGTTTCAATAATAATTGGTCATAGACAAATTAATAGTTCTTTGGTTTATCCGGGATGAGTTTGCTTCCTTGTATAAAGTAAAATATTTACGCTAAAGTCTAAATGAATAGACCGAATGTTTTCAAATTACTTAAAGATTAATTCTGACTGTTTAGTTGGGGGAATATAAGGGCAGTTCTACGCCTTCATTCGATTTAAAAGAGGCACTTGTGAATAATTTGAGATGATATTGAGAACACACATTCTAATTTCCACAAAGTAGTTCAGCTATGTTACGGACAGGAAGCGGTAATGGAAGGAAAGTTCCCACACTGACATGACATGGCCACCGGTGACCCCGGACCACGATGGATAATAATCGTGATTATGGGAAGTGGGACGACTCAACTCCATTTCCAACATTCGGAACTTGAGAACAGGTTTGACTTCCGCGATCTGCAGCCGCAGTGGGTCAGCATCCGTCCGACGTCCGACCGGCCACGAGGCCCTAGGTCAAGGAGTGGATCTGGACACCTGGACACACCTTATACGTGGACAAGTCTAGACACGTCTCTTGTGATGCTACTGAACTGAGTTTAGTTCAATGTATTTAGCACGGATTACAAGAAAATTCCCCATCAATATTCGATAGTTAAGAACATTTTTCTATAAAACGTAAAAATGTGTAAATACATGATATAATTTTTTATAATAAAATCTAAAACAAACTGTCCTCCTTTTGCTTACCCTTCTAAAACGCGTAAAGCTATTGAACAGAGAACAGACAGTAGTTATGGTTTATCTTGTACCACAATTTTTAATCACATAAACATACCAATGCAGTGGTATTAAAATTGAATTGGTCTGAGGAAATTTTGAGGTATTACTGTGAATAAAAGAAAGTGATATACAGATTCTTTATACGGAATTTTCCTTGGTTCAGAACATCTTTCCGGTCCTTGGTTGAAACAATCACGTGAAAGGCTTTTCCAGGCTAAGGGTACAGTAAATGCAATTACAGATACATCGTGAAAGTAGTTAACACGTACATTACAGCGACTTCCTTTCACTCACGTCCCAGGCATGGAGTGCGTGATGCGTGAATAGTAGTTACACAGCACACAGCCCAACCACCATGATGGGCGGGAACTAGATGTGAATAACAAACCTCATGTTTTAAATAGGTTTCCAAAATAAGACTGTAGGATAATATTATAAATGCCAAGTTTGTATGTATTAGTGGTCTTGTTGGTCAGAAGTAGCCTTGGTCTCGCTAATCAATAGTGATCAGTAGCCTCCTCAGTACTTATCGATAATGTTGATAAAAGGTGAACGATTTAGCCAAATATTATTTTTTAAATAATAATACCGTGGCAGAAATAAGTATTAACATTGAGTATACACATATCGAAACACTGACCGACTACCGCGACCCAAGCGTCGTTGGTCCAAACTACGTCACCAAAATCACTCACAATTATTAGCATTATCTGTCCCGTCTTATACGTGTATACTCAACGGTATTAGTAACATATTTTAAACACACTAACTTAATGTAACAACAAAGGTTTCAAGCTATATTAAATAGACTATGGTAAATAAAAAAATATACTTATAATCCTGCTTCATCTTTAAGCCCTCCAGTTTAGTTGCAGTTTATTCCAAAGTTTAAGATTTTCTAATTCCTGTTGTTAAAGACTGGCATAACTTATATCGTGTTGACGTTACACTGCTAGCATCCACTTATCTAGCCGTTGTCTGTTGCAGTCAAGAAGAGTGGCAAGATCCTGCTGCCCCTCCTGCTGATGATGAAGCTGAAGGCCGCCGCCTTGTTGCCGCTGATCCTCGGTGCCATCGCGCTGATCGCTGGTAAGGCTCTCCTCATCGGTAAGATCGCTCTGCTACTGGCATCTATCATCGCACTCAAGAAGCTCCTCAGCGGTCAGCAGAAGACCGTCACCTACGAGATTGTCTCACACCCACATCACTCCAGCAGCCACGAGCACCACGGCCACGACAGCTTCAGCAGCGGAGGTGGCGACATCGGCGGCGGCGGCTACGGAGGCGGTGGTGGCCACGGCGGCTGGGGGCGGTCTGCGGACGCTCACGACATTGCCTACAACGCGTACGCACCTGCCAAACAGTAAACATACCATGTACGTATACTTTGGGCTCTCCTGTTGCTAGTAATTGTATAATGTTATAGTTATTTTAATCGGCAAAGGTCTTCAAAGATATTGGTGCCAATTTTTCTAAAACTAAGCTTTGCAAAATGAGATGTCCACTTAGATATTGTGATGTTTCTATTGTAAAGCTAATCTATGTTGTGGTAAGTATTATAAGTGTTGATTCTATAACATTAAAAAAAATCATATAATGGTACTTTTATTTAATCACTAAATAAAAAAATTCTCGACTGAAGTTGTTTGAACCAAAAATAAGTTGATTAGTGGAAAGGAAAGGCATTAAAAGCTAGATTGCCTTTAAGATGATGTGATATTGGAGTTTTATGATGTATTGAACTTTCAAAAATTCAAACAGTTGTATGCTACTAGTAACTATAATATCCGTTATATAATATACATAGTCCTTGTTAACCTTTGCTTACCCCCTTATATTCCCATATATTTACGATAACCTTTGTTGTTCCAGACCGTGCCAAACCCACCATAGCCGGCTCCGGACCAGCGGAGACCAGCCAGTACGCCAATACTCAGTCTTGTTGTTCTCTTAATTTATTGTTACATAATTTATTGTTACTGTTACTGTTTCTTGCCACTTGTTGTACATACGGGCTTGCTGTTGTATATAATATTTATTGTCTCAGGTCCACTGACAGACAGACCAAAGATGTATACATAGCTGCCATTAACAGACTTCTCACTCTGTGCTTAGTTGCTTTATACATAATAAATAGATGTTTCTATTTTGTAAAGAATGCATTCTTTCCTTTTCCTTAGTTATTTTTTATATTAGAAGTTGCCGTATTGTAGGAGATGACCATTTTGCCGTGGTGACGGGAGATGATCTAACACTATGTATAAAAGAGAAATCTGCTATTTTTCCATTGTACGTAGGCAATGACATACCGACATCCAGTAGCTGCGAACAATCTGTATCTGTGAAATCTTTTATGGTTTTAGGGAATATATCATCAATTGAATTTAAGTGAAACTTTAAACAATAATAACAGTGCTATCTGCAAAAGGGTTATACTGACTCCACAAAACGAGTACTGTTTCGAAACAAACAAAACGGTGCTCCAAAAGGTATCAAGTTAAGAAGGGGCTTACTGATGTATCGATTCAGATTAGTGACGATTGTTCTCACCAATTGTAATACCCTGGTGACTTTCCTAAAAGCCTTAAGGACTCTCTCCTATGACACCAGATAGCTCTTAAACTTGAAAACTTCCACTACTAACGCAAAAAGACACGCTGATGGAAGAAAAAAACCTAGCCAATGAAAATCAAATAAAGGTCGTAAAACTGTATAATATATAGCACTGGTCACAAATGTTCCTAGTTATCCTGCTCCAACACATTAAAATTTTAAAAGGGTATATTGATGTACATTTTCAAGTGGGGTCTCTCAGGCTGATGAGAGAAACAAAACAAGCTGCCATTTTGTGTTGAGTATTGATGTTATTTATGAACGTCTCTAGTTCTAGCCAATATTTTTTTTAACGAATGGCCTTTAAAATGGGGTGTAATTTTATGTTTCTTTACATTTAAAATGCCTGAGCTGCCCCTAAAATACACTATTTTGGGTACCACACCAAAAATACCAACAAAAATGTACTTTGTATATGCGCAGTTTGTTTTTATTGGTGGGACTGATTAAAATATTATTTGGGGGTGTCCAACTAGGACACCCCCTGAGGACAACAAACAGTATTGAGAAAACCAAACGCCCCACACCTATCAACAGCATACTTGGATGAAAGGTCTTGATGAGAAACCTCCCCGAAAGATATATGTCCTCCCCCCCTCAACCTCAAAGGACTGTATTTAGTCACACTTAAAATATAAAAAACAAGGTGAAACCCGTCGAAATCGACGGTTAGGGGCCTCCTCGTTTATATGGCCGTGTGGCTTCATTGGCAACAAATAATGCAAATGAAATAGCAATGTGCCATTTCCAAAGAGAAAAACATACTGTAAATTGGCTGTTACGTAAATATTGACGTTTACATGCATTGTTAATCAACGTATCTTATAAACGATAATGTGATCTAGTTTAAAAAGAATATGACCTTTCTGTCGTGACAGTAGCTGCTTAAATAGTATTTACTCTTACAGCCAAAATATTGTGATACTTTCAATAATGTTACCAACGCAGTGATCCACGGTCCGTAATATAGGTCACTGCAAAAAATTAATTTGTCAAGATAGGTACCATTTTAGGCAAGGTTTTTGTGTTTGGATGTTATTAGACGCGATAAGAGCACACTGAACTTCTTCTTCAGATGAAGTTGGAGAAATATAAGCTGAATCATAAATGTGACAATGCGAGTTTGAGTATTTTGTAACTATTAGAGGAAGCTACATAGTATTTTTTAGGCTGCTGCTTAGTGCACTTAAGAATATATTTTTTAGAGATGAATTACATTGTTTTTGTTGCTGAGTAGCGCTAGTAAACATGCACAACCCTTTTCGTTAGTCTAATAAAATTCAAAGCTTCCTAAGAGTTCAAGTTCTTATTTGTATACATAACTATATTATGTTTACACTAATATGAATGAATACATCAAAGTAACCTCTCTGAAAAGTATGCAGTATATTGCAGTTATCCAGCTTAATGACTTTCATGCACATATGAAATATGTAATCATGCACATATTTCTACATAAATATTGTAAAATATTTTATCCGGTTGCTGTAAACCACTATAAATTTAACAAAATGTGGACACGGCTCAAATGGGCACCGTGCCCTTCTGCACTTGTATTATTTTGTTTTGTATTGTATTACACAATCGATGATTTTTCCAATGATTGAAAGCATGTATGGCAATAATCTCATGAACCTATGATGATCTGTCTAGAATAATATGATAAAATATAGGGAAAAGGTGTGAAAAAGGCCGTAACACAAACCCGTAAAATAGATATAAGATAGTTCAATAAGAAATTATTGTAAGAGTTATTGTGATAAAAGGATTTTACACTGATTTGGCAATGGAACTTTATATTGCAACACATGACATGACACAGAAGAAAATCCAGTTTAAAATCAGAAAATAACATTGCAAATACTTCTTTTGGACTATTCAGTAACTCCCAATAAATGTGTGTTGTTTAAAATACAATTTTAAAATTAACAGCTGTTTTATTAAAAAGTATTATCCACTTGACCAAAATGTAAACAAATCTGTAGAGGGATCTTTAAAGGCTTCTGGGACAGAGACCTAATCGAATTTACTTCGTTTTTCTTTTGATAACTCATCTACAGACCAAGACCTTTCTTTGGACACCTACACCAAGTTTCTACACCCAGCCGTTCTCTCAAATTAGTGGAGACATAGTTTCCAATTAAATATTTAGATTCCCCCCATGTTAATCTTATGGGAGAAAATCCAACTTTGATGGAAGATCCTGCCCAAACTAATAAAGATATCAAAAAACTAAAAACACTTTGCAAAACTACAGATCAGGGCAATTTTTTTGACACTTTAATAATCAAAATCGGTCCAAAAATGAGGGAGGAGGTCTGTTTACAAAAATCGGCTTAGCGTATTATATATAGGGTGTCCCACGAAGGGGTTTAAACGTTTGATTTTATATTACGCGCCCATTCATGCACCGAACTTTTTGAAACTTTACACAGTTTACAAGGTAGGTTTTAAAAATATTCTGGAAAAATTTCAACTCCATAACCTTAGAAGAAACAAAATGGCGGCATATTGAAAAAGTTACTTTAAAACATTAAAAAAGGTATTTTTGGTTTTATAAAATATTTTTATTGTTACTTTCCAGGGCAATATGACTTTAAAAAAAGAAAAAATTAGAACATAGCCAAATGGAAAACAAAAAATTAATCAAATAACTAATAAATAATAATAATAAATAAATAGCTAATAATAAATCATGAAAGTAGTTTTTATAGAAAGCACATTGGTAAATTTGTCAATAAGCCGCCATTTTGTTTCTACTAAGGTTAGGGAGTTGAAATTTTTCCAGAATATTTTTAAAACCTAATTTGTAAACGTTTAAATCTAAAAAGTTTAAAAAGGTTTGGTGCATGAATGGGCACGTAATATAAAATCAAACGTTTAAACCCCTTCGTGGGACACCCGGTATATAGAAGATGACTCAGATGTTGGTTGGGTTTGTTTATATTTATAGTTGTTTTCATTAACTTTTTCTTTGAGTTTGCCTTTTGATTCTTATTATAGACTAGCTGTTACCCACGGGCATCACCCATCGATCTCTATTATCACCCCTTTTGACTTCATAAGTATTAATAAAACTATTGGCTGGTTAAGTTAAGCTGAAATAAACAAAACAGAATACAGTAATAATCACAACAAACAAATAAACACCTGATTTTAATAAGGTAATAAATTGAAAGGATAACAAACAAATAGGTACAGCTGGGGTATTTTTAACATTAGGTACATGGAAAGTTCTCTTTAGAAAGGAATTACAACCTTAAAGGGCAATGAGTGTTTAGTTTTGATCCTGCCACACAGTATAACGCAAAATCACAAGAAACTTTCAATAAAATAAGTAATGCCTAATTTGAATGGTAAGTGTGTGTAACTTTTTTAAAGTAGATTTAGAGACCCACATTTTCCCCTTTGCGAAGCACTGTTAGAACAACTCAGTTTATTTATCGTCCAATTCTCAGGGACAGCTGGACCCAGTGTTTCGAAACATTAAATAATTTTGACTTTTCTCAGTCGACCCAGCAACTTTTTGAATGCAAGGCGAATACTATAAACACTCAATCACTCAGCTATGTTTACACTATACTATTGATTTTATACTATATAACCACTATTTATACATGTTTACGACAATTTCACACGTACAAAAAAACACATTTTTTGATAATGTTAATAGTATAGTATGAAATAAATAAATTTGCAAAATCTTATCAATAAATAAATATCCATAAACTAGCAAACTATACCAGATTACTTTTCTCCAGAGGAATAACATGGAATTTTAAAATATGTACACAGTTTTGTTTTTGGAATTTTCTTCGCAACCATTAATTGTACGATGTTTAGCAATAAAGCAAACAACCAGAAATTCGCCGTCGCTGGATTGCTCCAACGGTTCACTTTATACCGTTTTAACACACAACAATATAATTTGACTAGCACCACCGACATACAAATAAAACACAAACTCGATCAGACTGAAATAATCATCCGTATAAGTTAAATGATTTTTTAAATTTAAACAAAAACTGATACAAATGCCTCAACACCACTGCCCGCGCCTGACTTACCTCTGACGCAATATGAGTACACCATTCATTTTGCGATTCTCGATTTGCGGGCGTTATTTCCAGGTTCGTAACGCAATTCAAATTTCTGCTGATGAAAAGTTCAATACCAAACAAAAACTGAGTAGTCTTATTAACACTAATATCTTCATGACAACAAAAATTAAAATCACAAACTGATATTACGGTTTATGTATTTATTTAAAAAAAACCCTTATTTTTTGGTGCGGAGGAGGAGGGGGGTAATCATCACCGGTAGGAAAAGGTATCTCGTGAAGACGTTACTTCATATAATAATAATTGTAGTTAATTATTTACATTGAATTGTTATTGACTTTGATTACTTACAATTCCAATAAATCCATATAAATACTTGGACTTTAGTGTTAAGGTACTTAAAGCACTGAGATATAAAGCTTTAAGTGTTCTCTTTTCTTTTAAACCCCTTACTATTTTTTTTAATTGCCGTGCGAAAAATACCATCGATTATCGGGTATTTGAACCATTATAAAGTTGGCAGTTCTTAGATTCGTCAACTTGGATTATACTTTTGTCTGAACTATACGGTTGTATTATACCTAAATAGTCAAATACTCATAATTGATTTAGTCTGCAGATTCGAATACTACATTTTAACTGTCAAGGTCAGCAGAAAGTTCATCAGAAGTATTAAATACAATTATTAACAAGAACTGTATAAAACTCAATTTAATCATTTCATAATGTTAGCTTGAACTAAACAACAACATTGAATTAAACAAACATAATAATAAATAAATCTGAACATCTGTGAATCTTAATAACATATAACATATGTAACAGTGGTCCCCCCCTTAAAGTTTTGTGCGTAGCATCTGGTCGACGTGTCGCCTCCAAGTTTGACCATCATCCATTCTAACGTAATAATGAAGATTACCATCTTTAATTTCAACTGTTCCCAAGGCCCACTTGTCTCTTCCTGAATAATTTCTGACTTGTACGCGGTCCCCAGGATTGAATCTTCGCATTATACCTTTTGGACAGGTAGGTTCGTGTTTTCCCCGAGGCTTTAGTAGACTTAGATAAGTGCGAATCTTTCTATTAAACATGAGGAAATATGAAGAGGTTCCCGTTGAATTAGGAGCTTGGCGGATCTGCATTAGAAATCTATGTAATTTTTCATCGATGGTCCCAGGTTCATTTTCCATACATTTAAGTGATTTCTTTACAGTTTGAACAAAACGTTCAGCCTGCCCATTAGATGAAGGGTGATATGGTGCAGTTGTTTTATGTGTAATTCCACACTGTTCAAGGAAGCTAGTAAACTCTAAGGAAGTAAACTGTCGTCCATTGTCTGACACAAGAAGATCTGGTAATCCAAAAGTAGAAAACATTTTTCGCAACTCCTTTACTGTCCAAGTAGCTGTAGTACATTTCGTAGGCAATACTTCTACCCATTTGGTAAATGCGTCAATGACTAACAGGAAGTAAAGTCCATTTGTAGGGCCAGCAAAATCAATGTGAATCCTTTCCCAAGGTCTAGTAGCTGGTATCCAAGGATGGTTCACTTCTTTTTGTGGTGCATTTTGTTTTTCTCTACACGCTCTGCATGATGCAATCATCTCCTCGATATCTTTGTCTTGTCCTTTCCAATAACAAAAACTTCTGGCTAATGCTTTCGTTTTCAATACACCCATGTGTCCAAAGTGTAATTCATTCAAAACAGTTTTAGTAAGAGACTTCGGAATCATAACCCTCCATCCCTTGAGGATACAACCTTCATGAAGACTCAGTTCACCATCGTGAAATCCAAGTTTTTCAACAGACTGGCCATTTTGTAAAGCGTGTACTATCTTATTCATTTCCGTGTCATGGGAAGTTTCTTTTGCTACCAACTTATGATCCAAACTCATTTGATTGATCTGACTTGTTAGGAAAACATCAATTTGGTCAATGCAGGTACTATTTTGTGTCTCAGTAGGAAATCTAGAGAGAAAATCAGCGTTTCCATGTTCATTTGATCTTCTGAACTCAATGCTGTAATCAAAGCCTGATAAATAATGAGAATAATTGAACAAACGAGTTGCAGACATGGATGGAAGATTTTTTTCTGGGTTGAAGATTGTGACTAGTGGTTTGTGGTCGGTTACGAGGGTGAATTTGCGACCGTAACAATAAGTAAAGAACTTTTTTAGGCCCCAAATAATGCCAGTTGCTTCCTTGTCTATCTGACTATATTTTTCTTCAGGCTTCGTCAACGTTCGAGAGGCAAAAGCAATTGGTTTCTCGGTCCCATCAGGAAAACGGTGTGATATAACAGCGCCTAACCCAACAGGAGATGCGTCTGTAGCTAATACTAGTGGTAGTTCTGGACTGTAGTGGCAAAGAACAGTATCACTGGAGATAACTTTCTTGATTTGTTCAAAACTCTGTTCACATTGTTCATTCCAAACGTATTTGTTCCCTTTCTGTAAAAGTTTATGTAATGGTTTCAGTAGAGTAGCTAGGTCTTTTATGAATCGGTTGTAATAGTTTACCAAACCTAAAAATGTCCGGAGTTCGCTTACATTCTCAGGTTTTCTTGCCTTAGTTAGGGCAGCTACTTTGTCCATACATTTATGTATACCTTTTTCATCAATGACGTGGCCCAAATAATGTATTCTTTTCTGGAGAAACTTGCATTTGTCACGATTGAGTCTTAAACCTTTTTCTCTTAGTTTTCCTAAGACACTTTCCAAACGCAGAAGTAGTTCCTCTTCTGAATTTCCCTGAATGACTATATCGTCAAAGAAGCACTGTATCCCCTCTATGCCTGCCAACGTCTTGTCCATTGTTTTCTGCCAAATTCCAGGAGCAACTTTAATACCAAACATTAATCTATGTACCCTGTACTGTCCCTTATGCGTGCTTAAGGTTTGAATATTTGCACTATCACTGTCCATTTCCAAATGAAGGTAAGCATTTCTTAAATCTAGTGTACAAAATAATTTTCCACCATTCATGTTGACAAATATGTCTTCAATTTTGGGAATAGGGTGATGTTCATCTTGGATCTGCTTGTTTACTGTCACTTTGTAATCCGCGCATATTCTCACATCTCCGTTAGGCTTGACTACAGGAACGATTGGTGTTCCCCACTCAGATTCTTGAGTTTTAGAAATTATTCCTGCTTCTTCTAAGCGGTCAAGTTCTTGTTCCACTTTCAGTTTTAATGCGTACGGTACAGGCCTAGCCTTCATAAATACCGGACGAGCCCCATCGACAAGTTGTAAGTGTCCAAGTTGATCTGGAATCTTACCGATACCTGGCTCAAACACATCATTGAACTTCTCTAAAAGATTGTCAAGACCACCTACTTTTGGGTATTGTTGTACTGCCTTTAGTTCAGCCCAGTCTAACTGTACTTCTCGCAACCAATCGCGACCAAATATTGCGTCAAGGTTGTCATCCACGATGTAAAGTTTGCCTGTAAATTTCTGATCCTTGTATGTACAATGCACAAAAACAACTCCTTTTGGTTTGAAGACTTCTCGAGTGTATGTTCGTAGCTGCACTTGTGTATGACAAATTTTCCTATTAATTTCAAGTTTCTTGAATGTAGAGTAAGGCAGAGTACTTATAGCAGAACCGGTATCAAGTTCCATTTGAACTGGTTTACCTTCAACTGATAAGTCAAGCATAATTTTATCTCCATTTCTTCTATCTATTTTGAAAATCTCGTGTTGTTCATCTTGACAGTCTTCTTCTTCGGCTTGGTGAATTTTTGTTCTTGTAGATCCTAAACATACTCTGGCTAAGTGTCCCTGTTTCTTGCATTTATTACATATCTTTGAAGCAAACTCACAGTTATTGGCCCTATGGTTTTGATAACCACATCTGTAACATTTTCCTTTAAGACTCTCAAAAAGAGGTGAAGGCTTTTTCTGGTTTGACGTCATGTGCGATTTAGTTGATACATTTTTGTATTTATCCTCAATCTGATGTACTGTACTAGGCCTATTAGTTTTAGTTGCATAGTATTCAGATAGATCACTCTCGTGGTTTGCAATTTCCATCGCTGTCGCTGCTTTGACAACATCTTGAAACTGTCCTGAGGTCTACATTAATAGTTTGTTTATTTGCTTGTCATCTGGTTTGATATATTATTGTTTCATGTTTACTTTAAGTTTTGGATTTTGTTATTAAATACAATGAAAGAAGTGGCTCTAACAAAATGGGTTTTAATTTAATATATTTAAGGGCACAACATGGTGGCAGCGGTAAAGACCCAATAAATTGAGTAACAGGGTGTCTAATATATATGCTGCATTACAATGTCAGACTCAGAAAACTCAGATATAACAGTAAGAAGACAAACATCTAAAATGACACAACATTCAGCAACATTGGGCTTCATTGATAAATACAGAGGCTTATGCAATAGTATGGGCATGTGAACGTTTCAAAAATTTTATAACAGGATTGAAGTTTCAAATTCAAACTGATCATAAACCTCTGATTCCTCTTTTAAGTAGTAAGGGTTTGGATGAACTGCCGCTAAGAGTTCAGAGATTTAAAATGAGATTAATGAGATATTCGTACGACATATTGTGGGTACCAGGAAAACAATTAACAACTGCCGACACGTTATCAAGAGCGCCAATCAACAAAACTGAAGAGGAAGATATTGAGAAACTTGCAGAAGAAGCAGAAGCATGTGTAAGAACAGTAGTTCAATCAATCCCAGTATCATCTAATAAATTAGATGTAATAATAAAAAAATCAAAGAGAAGAATTACAGGAATTGTTAGATATTACAATTCAAGGATGGCCTAAAAATAAGAACCTATTAAATGAAAGATTAAAAGAATACTGGGATCATCAAGCAGAATTGTCGATCAATGAAGATATACTTATGAGAAATAATCAAATAGTGATTCCTCCATCCTTGAGAAAAGAAATGTTAGATAATATTCATCAAGGTCATCAAGGTATTAAAAGATGTAAAGAATGGGCTAAAATGTCAGTATGGTGGCCCAAAATTAATCATCACATCGAACAAAAAGTAACCTATTGCCCGCAATGCATTGCTGACAGAGTGCCTCCTCGCCATCCTATGATTCCTACAGAGGTTCCTGAAAGACCCTGGCAGAAAATCGGAGTAGATTTTTGTGAATTCAACAATGATAAATACATAATTCTCATGGATTATTATTCCAAATACATCGATGTATATAAGGTATCTAACTGTTCAACGGCAATATTGATTAAATCAATGAAGACATCGTTTGAAAAGCATGGCATCCCCGAGTCAATTAGATCAGACTCAGGTGTGCAATTTCTATCAGAAGAATGGGAACTATTCAAATCAGAATACGACTTCACAGTGGAAACTAGTTCACCATCACCAACAAACGATGGTGATGGTTGTTTGTACCATCATCAGTGCAATGGTCAAGCTGAAAGTGGTGTGAAAATCTTCAAAAACATATTAAAGAAGTGTAAGGATAGACATCTGGGCTTATTGGCATACAATACGACGCCAAAGGAATGTGGTTATAGCCCATCACAACTATTAATGGGACGGATTTTAAGAACAAATCTACCAGTGAATAAAGCAACTCTACTTCCAGCCACTCCAAATCACAATAGATATAGACTTAGACAAAGGGAAGAAAAGAGGAAACAGGAACAACAGTTCAATAAAAGACATAGAGTGACCCAGGTCAAGGATTACCCAGAAAACGCTAAAGTTTGGGTATCGGACCGAAGAGAAGAAGGGGTAATCAAGGAGAAGTTAGAGAACAGGAAATATAACGTTGAAACAAAAAAGGGAGGAAGATATATCAGGAATGCAAAATTCTTATTCCCTATGTTCTCCTCTGGAGAAAGAGAAAATCCTGATAAAGAAAACCCCCATACTCAGACACTTCCTCCAAGACAGACACATACACCAAGATCCAACCTACATAATCATTCTTCAACCATACACAGACCTACCAGAATTGTTAAACCTGCCAAGAGGTTCATAGAAGAACTTTAAGAGGGAGATGTCCTGAGGTCTACATTAATAGTTTGTTTATTTGCTTGTCATCTGGTTTGATATATTATTGTTTCATGTTTACTTTAAGTTTTGGATTTTGTTATTAAATACAATGAAAGAAGTGGCTCTAACAAAATGGGTTTTAATTTAATATATTTAAGGGCACAACAGAAACGATACTAATGAATTATCCTGAAGCATGAAGCAATTTGGCTCTAATATCTTTATTAACTAACCCCCTTATGAACTGCATTCGCAAAAGTGTATTAGCGATTGATTTCTGGCAAGACTCACAGTTAAACTCACAATTAGATGTAAGTTTTTGCAATTCAACTGAATAAATCTTAACTGTTTCATTGGGCTCCTGTACTCTAGACATGAATTTGTGCTGTAAAGCCCAAGTACTTGGCTGTGGATCAACATAATCTGTCAACATTCTCACCAATTCTGTATATGACTTATCCAGAGGTACTTCTGGAGCACATAAATCATAAACCTTCTGATGTAGGCTAGGGGTTAAAGAATGAAGTAATGTGTATACCTTATCTGTAGGATGCATTCCTTGTCCATGTAAGTGAATGAAGACTTCTAGACGTCTTATGAAATTCTTGAATGTCTCGTCATCTTGAAAGGGTGTGAACGAAATTGTTGATGTAAGCGGTCGCAATTTCTGAGTATCAACACTGTATGGTCTGATCTGCTGTAGTTCTTCTGTTTCGTTGACTCTTTCCAATTCACTTAATCGGAGTTGTAATACATCAACTATTTTGAAATACATATCCTCCATGTCGGTCCTGTATGTGATTTCAGTGTCAAGTTCTTCTTCATCTGTTTTTACTTCAATGTTGTGCTGGATTTGCTCGAATCGTTCCCAATAAGCATGTTTCACTGAGAGTCTTGTTCTGATACTATCAATTTTAATACTAGACAATTCTTCCAGCATTCTCCCAGCTCTAGTCAACTGACCTTTAACAACAGCCCTTGCTTTCTTCAGTTCACTCAATGTTTCATTTCCTTGTAAGGAGGCCATAATCAATTATTTGTACTAGTAAATGTAATAAGTGTAAAATAGAAACGTAGAAATAATTAATTGTCCTCGTCGCCAATTATTAAATACAATTATTAACAAGAACTGTATAAAACTCAATTTAATCATTTCATAATGTTAGCTTAAACTAAACAACAACATTGTGTAAGGGTTGATTTTTTACACCTCACCTTTTTTTATCATATCACGGCTGAAATCGGTAGACAAAAATGTTTTTACTTGAGGATCATCATAGTAGTACGAACGATCAACGATTTTGAGGTTAAGCATGGCGAGGCGAGGCTCAAGTAGTTAGCGCGAGCACCGATGTAGCCGCCGCCGAGGCCGAGTCGGACTGCCAAAACTGGTTTCTGCGCATGACCGGCCCAGACGTGCAACAAAACCACTGGGACCGGGCGCCGCCGGACAGTCTGTGCCATTTTGTGACCCAATCAACACGTCTCTCTCTAAGGTATAGTGCCTACTTGATATCATTTTATGATTCAGGGAAACTAGTTGTTTTACGTTTAGATATTCACGAACGATATTGATTAATTGATTTGCGATAATTTGTTCACGATAAACGAGGTTTTCGATTTTGATCAGTGATCAATTGGTATTTTTTTTGCAATTTAATTTAGATTTTAAATTGTGAAATAATTAGTTTGAAGTCAAAGAAATTTTGCCGACTAGCAATATAAAATCCAAACGAGTTAGCATACACTAGGCTATTGAGGAAAGCAAAGGCTTAGTAAGGCCAATTGAGTATTTTAAAGGATTTTTACCTACACATCTTATATTACATAACCTCTGTGTCACCTTCCAATATCCCTCCTTTTGCTGAAGTGCAAGCAGCATCCTTTGGGCGGAATACGCTACTCAATTACCTAACCCTCTTGTATCGCAGTTAAGGAGTGATTTAATAGGTTAAGCCTTAGCCTAGTTGTTATTGAAGAACTATATAATTTGAGGGTGACAATAGCCTAAGCTTGTGTAATATAACGTCATATAAACTCAATGTTGCCTTCCAAACATCCCTCCTTTTGCTGAAGTACAAGCAGCATCCTTTGTGCAGTGTACGCCATTCTATAGCCTATTACCCTATATTGTATGCTTAACGAATTTCTGGTATTTAATTAAAACATAGAGAGAGTTACGAAACAGAATTAACTATAAGGATAGCTGTTTTATTGCTCGCATAGCTAGCGTTAGCCTGTTGATTAATTGGGATCTTTAAAGGATAGTGGGGGTCTTAGTTATCCAAACTAACCTACCGTAACCTATCCTAGATTGCTGAAGTATATTCAGCATCCTAGTTAGCTGTACAGGCTATCTACCCTTAACCTTTTTGTTGTTTAGAGCGCATTTGCGTGGGTTTAGGGTAGCGAATGAGGTTCATACGGGCGTTTAGGTAACGATTAACCTACCGTAACCTATCCTAGATTGCTGAAGTATATTCAGCATCCTAGTTAGCTGTACAGGCTATCTACCCTTAACCTCTTTGTTGTTTAGAGCGCATTTGCGTGGGTTTAGGGTAGCGAACGAGGTTCACACGGGCGTTTAGGTGACGATTAACCTACCGTAACCTATGCTAGATTGCTTGAAGAATATTCAGCATCCTAGTTAGCTGTGCAGGCTATCTACCCTTAACCTTTTTGTTGTTTAGAGCGCATTTGCGTGGGGTTAGGGTAGCGAACGAGGTGCATACGGGTGTTTAGGTAACGATTAACCTACCGTAACCTATCCTAGATTGCTTGAAGTATATTCAGCATCCTAGTTAGCTGTACAGGCTATCTACCCTTAACCTTTTTGTTGTTTAGAGCGCATTTGCGTGGGTTTAGGGTAGCGAATGAGGTTCATACGGGCGTTTAGGTAACGATTAACCTACCGTAACCTATCCTAGATTGCTGAAGTATATTCAGCATCCTAGTTAGCTGTACAGGCTATCTACCCTTAACCTCTTTGTTGTTTAGAGCGCATTTGCGTGGGTTTAGGGTAGCGAACGAGGTTTACACGGGCGTTTAGGTGACGAACCTACCGTAACCTATGCTAGATTGCTTGAAGAATATTCAGCATCCTAGTTAGCTGTGCAGGCTATCTACCCTTAACCTTTTTGTTGTTTAGAGCGCATTTGCGTGGGGTTAGGGTAGCGAACGAGGTGCATACGGGTGTTTAGGTAACGATTAACCTATCGTAACCTATCCTAGATTGCTTGAAGAATATTCAGCATCCTAGTTAGCCGTGCAGGCTATCTACCCTTAACCTTTTTGTTGTTTAGAGCGCATTTACGTGGGGTTGAGGGTAGCGACCGAGGTTCATACGGGCGTTTAGGTAACGATTAACCTACCGTAACCTATCCTAGATTGCTGAAGTATATTCAGCATCCTAGTTAGCTGTGCAGGCTATCTATCCTTAACCTCTTGGTTGTATAGAGCACATTTGCGTAGGGTTAGGGTAACGATCGGAGCGTAGCAAGGTTTAGTTTGATCCTATAACCTTTGATACCGATCCTAGTTTTGCTCGAAGAACATTCAGCATCCTAACTAGCTGTACAAGCTATCGAACCTAATTTTTGAAATAGACTCTAACGCGAGAATTGAATTAACAGATAACACGACACATAGATTATACACGACAACGTTTTCTTCCGCGTCTGGTAGGGTAACGATGATGAGTGAATAGCGACAACTGGTTCGCACATTTCACTGAGTTACCCTATCATTTTCAATAAAGGATTTTGATTAAACACAGACGATTGATAATTTAGATTATTCGAAACGAAATTAATATTGAGTGGGATTTCAGAACAACAATATTTTGTTGATTCACATCGACCCCTGGAAATTAAACCCAGCACTGCTGAACTATCTTTGGCGATAAGATAACGAAATCGACACACACACAGAAATTCCCTCACATATTTATGGCGCCCGAACAGGGACTACTGAATAAGTAGTTATCGACGAAAATTTGGAAATTGTTGAAAGAAAAGTAGAAATTTGAATTTTAGACCATTTATTTGAGGAACAACGATGTTCTATCACGTAGAGAGATTCCTTAGACCATTCAAGATTCTCCTGGCATCGAATATAATGGAAGAAGGTGACAACGGGAGCGCTTCGTCACAAGGAGGCGAGCAACAACCTATCGCTACGGTCACGACCTCGTCTGGAGGAGCGGACCTACGGACATCCACTACTACGACTGCTAGCTCTACGGCAGCTGGAACAGCTCAACGACCACCCTCGGATACAGAAGTAAGGGTCAGCTGGGTCTACAAGTTATCAAGATCGCAGCTTGAAGACGAGCTAGGCAAGCTGGGAACTGTACCAGAAGGGAACGCTAATCAGCTTAGAGCAGAACTTGTTCGACGGTTACGACAACGGGCTGGAAAGGAGGCGATTGAAGAGGATGATGAGTTCCACCACGCATCTCAAGAAGCACCAGCGGGTGCATCCTTAGAGTTAGAAGCCGTGAGCATCCGAGAACTTCTGGGTCTCCCACCTGATGCTGATTTTAACGAGGTCAGACGGCTGATGACACAAGCTTCAAAGCCACGCCAAGCGACCTTGTCAACTACACACCAGACAACTCGCTCAATTGTGGGGGTTCCCGACAGGCGAACCTCGATGCTTACTCCGGTAAGGATGAAGTCTTATGCCCCAGTCTTCACACGCACTCAATCAAACGATGAGGGTGGTTTGGCAGAACAATTGGATTTTGGCTTTAACCACACGAGTGGACGCGAAGAGCCAACGGTGGCAGGTGACGTAGATTCACCAAGACTGTCGAACACTGCCTCCCTTTGTAATACCGTTAGGAAATGGAATTTGAGATTCGATGGAAGGAAAGAATCGGATGCCATCTCTTTCTTAGAGCGCTTGAATGAATTGATGGAATCGTATAGTGTGACCCCTGAGTTGATGTTGAAAGCGTTGCCCGAGCTATTGAAAGACAGTGCAATCCTATGGTA